AACACGGCTAGCTCTTCTCTCAATATTTTGCCCTCGGTCTTGAAATTCTTAGAGCACAGGATTCTCTTATACAGCTCTGCGTCCATTCCAGATGGTCCGGCTGAGCCCTTAGTTTTACTTGTCGAGTTGTAGATCGATTCTTCGTTTATGAGGTCATAAACATTTGGCGGAATATAATAAATTGGGCCATAATTATTATATAATTATTGTTGTTATTATTATTATATAATAATAATTACTATTATTAGAAGTAGTAGTAGTAGTAGTGGTGGTGGTAGTAGTAGTAATAGTATCAGTATTATTGTCATTGTTAATATCATGAATACCGTTTTTGTGTGAATCAATAGATAATCGCATAAGTCGTGGGCTCGCGTTGCTGTCTTAACCGCATGGACTCGAAAAACACTCAAGTGAATACTTGCTAGTTTTATTGCTACTCTAAAATACAACAAACAATGAGAAACACGAAAACTACACGAATCTGATCTCCCGTCCGATCTATCGATCATGTCCAAACGGAAGAAACTTATGATCCCAAGAAAAAAACTTGCTATTAAAAGTGACTGTAATGTCATCAAAATCCAAAAAAATGTCCAGTGCATTGCAAAGTGCAAAGTCTGGCCAAATATGAGTCAGTCTGGAAAGGTGAAACGTCCTGGCCTACGGGTCGGCGTCTTAGGGTGCATGTCTGGCTCAATCTAAGTGTCAGCGCTACTTCCACAATGTCGTCTAAACAGAACTGGCTATATGAATTTGAGGTAAACGCAACGCGAGTAGGTAAACCAGCCCAAACACGAATTATTTTTTTGATAGCTTCCACGAACTCGTATCTAAAGGCGCTGATTCTCATAGCTTGAGTGGGACAAGTAAATTCAAACATTTCTATCTTGCCATCTCGACGCATGGCCCAGCCCGTGCCGCTATCGAACCTCTTCCAATGTTTGCAATGTTTCGTCAGGGTCATGATATACTTCCAGAACATGGCATACCATGCTGTCAGGGCTTGATTGGCGTCAAAGGCCCTCACCACCCTTTTCCGTCCCGTCACCTTGGGTAGCAGGGTGGGCAAAATTTCATGAAGTCCAACGACGTTGTCAGAGGAGTCAACTCTGTAAACGAAACATCTAGGGACTCCAACCTTAAGCGAAATTTCCTTTCTCTCATTCACTGTCTTGCACTCGGCGGGTATCTCGTAAAATCCTCGAAGGCAAGAAAGGTGGCCCAGTTGACGACAACAATTAGCCTCCAGCAACGGATCGTCTTTGCTATTTTCCTCTTCGAAACAAATGACACAAGTTCCGTCCTTTTTTGCCCTTTTTTTCGGAATGGGATCCTCGTCTTTTTCGTCCGGACTGTCTATAACCACGACAGCCTCGGCTGGCTCCTTAACAACCGGCAGGGGTTCCCAAATCAAGCCTCTGGTAAAGATATTACACTACGGACAAGCTGCCAAGTCTTCCTTGCGAACGCAATCGTGATGTATGAAAATCAAGCAACAATTTCGACGGTAAGCGCGTAGGTCGGTTCGATTGTGAACAGACAACAGACTGTGGCAACTGAAGCAACGGCGACCCACCATGTTTTGCAACAGACTACCAGAACTACCTCATCGCTTGCCATTATAGGCCGATGCGTAGACATGTAACCAGGCCATTTAATGTCGTCACATAGTACGTCATGATGACGTTATCGAGGGTGGCACCGAGCCTCTGACATCATCAGAACCGCGCCTTCTGACGTAGAACCTGGCCTCTGATGTCATCAACAACACCCACCTACGTCATCACCGCTCCTTATGACGTAAAAACAAACGTCATAGGGCAAAAATACGACCAGTCAATGACGTCACTATCCGTGGATATAAAAGCGAAGGATGCAATCTTACCGATCAATAGCTAGAGAATGGAGTGGAGTTGTTTAGTGTGTTTCAAGCCGTGTCAGCCAAATGATGCTATGCGCCGCAATTGCTGTGAGAGAGGAGTCATGCACCTGGCCTGTATCGAGAATATCCAACTTGTAAAATGTCCTGGATGCGAGAGAAATCCGATGAAAGATTTGATGACTACGTCCGGTCCATGTACGCTGAAGCCACTAGAGCAATCTGTGGTACCGCGTGCCCCGCTTGGGGCGATGAAGTCGATTGGATTTTTATGCGGACAGCCCGATGACGAACATCTTCCTCCACCTTCGACAGCGGTAGATCGTGCAAACCGATACCTGGACGCGTGGAAGAGTATGATTAGCAACCAGTTACGCGAAGCGACCGATCGATGGAGCGAGCAAATCGAATTGAAAAGATTGAGTGTGGGTGTCACCTTGCTGGATGGTAGCCATGTTTGGTGTCTGAAACGTTTTAAAGACACACTTACGAAAGCTCGCGATGTCGAATCACGAATTGTGGAGAGCATAGAGCGATGGAAC